GCTTGCACTGCACTATCTTGGGAGCATGTCTGTCTAGACCTATTCACTCATGATGCCACACATCTCCCTCCAGAACGAGGAAGGAAAGAGCAATAGAAATGTTTTCCAGGTACTTTGGGATAAAATTTCCTTGCTGCTTGTAAGTGATGGGGCATGAGATCTCTGATAACCATGTGTACTTTTTAACTGCAGGTCTTGAAGAATTTTGGTTACTGGTAAATGGAAAACCATTTTCCCAAAACAGGTTTTGGTAGATAAAACTTTGTAGCAGTCAAAAAAATCAGTTACATGAAAAGGGAAGTAGATAGGTGTGATTAGGAGTAATTTGTTATGGGAAACCCTGAATGTCCTCTGTCTAAGTGAAACCGAATCTGTGCTGATGCAAGTTAATCCCACTGGAATCAGCCACTTCTAACACTCAATTACAGAGCGTTGTCAGCTCATATGCCTGTTTGAGGAGATATTTTTTTTATCCCCTTGCTGCTCCTGACTCTCCTCATGCTAGAAGTTCACTTTTTTTTTTCCTCCTTCTGCCTTCTACTTTTAGGCTGAAGTGTGAGGTGTGCATAAACACTTGCTGGATTTGTTTTGGGGGTAAGGTGCATAAAACTTGGGTTTTAATTTGAGCAGATTAAGGTTGCATGAAAAAAAAATATACAAGATAATAGCACTGCTATCTTGAATTTCAAGGGTCTGGAGCATAGGAGCTGTCCCTTGTTTCCCCCTGCCTCTAGGATGGGCTGTTGTTCCTTCCCGTATTGCAAAGGATCCCTTTGCATTTATATTTTCTTTTTTTTCCCCCTGCTTTTTTAAGTGGGGATGTGAATCATAACCAGACAAATGTTTTAGCAGAAAATGTTGAAATTGGGATTAATATTTTTCATGGAGTAGATGAATAAAAGCATCCCTAGCATTTTGTACTACTGGGATGCTGAAATACACACAGTTGGATTGGTTTTAGGAGTTGTTTACTTGGACGGAATGTAGATGAGGTGACAGCAGATATACTTTTTTCCTTTATTTTAACATGGGAGAAAGGCCGTTCCATGGGCTCACGAGCTGCTGCCTCTGTGATACGTCAGCTTAGCCAGGATGGTGGTGATGGTGACTTCATTCAAGGTCTAGTATGTTTATCTTATCCATTGCATCGACCAAAACTTCAATCCAAGCTTCGGGATGAAGATTTATTATTTATCAGGTGTCCAGTGCTGTTTGTCTCAGGATCAGCAGATGAGATGTGTGAAAAAGTGAGTACCCTTGTAAATCCTGCTATGCAGGGGCAGTATGGAGGAACAGAAGTGAGTCTGAGTGACATCTCTACTGGTATACACAGCTGTGACTTTGATTAACAGCCTTCTCTAAATATGTATTTCTTCTGAAAAAAGCCTTGGTAGGAAACTTCATTGGACATAAGGAAGCCTGGTGGTGTTTTCTTTTGCTGCTTAAAACTTCTGGATCATGCTTGATTATCCACTTCAGCAAACTCATCTTTGGGCTACTAAAATACTGCTGATTTAAATGTTTTGTTTTCATTGATAGGATTGTACAAATTAAAAGCCACCTATGGAAGGAGCAAGTTATTTGCTATTCTGTTTTAACCATTTCAGGTTACAAGACATAAAGACCATGTTGTGCTACCAGTTTCATATCACATTTTCATGACAAATTCTAGCAAAGCAGTTTTACCCAGAAGTCGGACTTCTGTGGTCGAAAGCTATATTTTTGTAGAGATGAAGAACAGGTGTGCAGAGATGAGAATACAGTGGGTTTGTGCCTTGTTTTCTTACAAATAGGTATCTGTTATTCTTGAACAGTTCAGCGTGAATTTGGGAGCGTGTGCCGTTGGCATTTTCCATGCTTGGACCGTTCCTAAGCAGTCATAATGCTGTTGTGAGGAGCTGTCACCAAAATAAGTCAGGCTAAACCAGCTAGTTTTTTTTTTGTTTGTTTTTAACTAGGTTGCTAAACCAGCAGATCATTGGAGTGCCCTCTTAATGGGAGCTGCTTCTTAGATCTCTTGGCTGAGAAAGTTGAACAAAGTTCAAGCCAGTCTCTAGGGAATTATATTGCTACTCTGGCACTGTAGACAAATCTGACTTCAGAAGTTTTGTCATTTTATTGCTAGTACGACCCTCTGGCAGTAAAAGTGTATTCCTTCATCAGTGGGGGGAAGGAGCCTGCACAGGGTTGTGACCTTTGCAGTTTTTGAAGTTCTGATTTTCTGCTGTTCTGTGTCTGAGGGTGAACCTTTGAGCAAATTCCATTACTGAATACAGTATTGTCACATCTTTTCTGTCAAGGTGGTTTTAATGTGCATGCAGGTCCATTTTGTCTTTAAGAGCTGCCTACTATGTGTTGCACAGGCAAAGCGTCTAGGAGTTGCACAGTTTGTAGTAGCTGATTTTCTAACTTTCTTATTCTTATTTTCTCCGTAGCAATTGCTAGAAGGTGTGGCAAGCAAAATGAAAGCCCCTAAAAAAATCCATTGGATTGATAAAGCAAACCATGGGATGGCAGTCAAAGGACGAACAACTGATGATGTCATGGAAGAAATAAATGCCCAGGTTTTTTCATGGCTTAGAGAGAATATTGAACCGGAGCACAAATGACTTGCAGTGTTTAAGCAGTATCTTCATTTAGCTGTTCCTAAAGGCAGCAAATTCGAGTTTGTTATTTCTGGGAAATATATATTTTTTTAAAATGGATGTTTTCGGAGATTTAAGTGAAAATGCAAATAAAACTTTTGTATGTGAATGAAAAAAATTATGCAAAGCAATAAAGAACTTTTTAAAGGAAGGGTAGAAAATTTACCAAATACTTAATATCGTGGCAGCATTGTTTTCTATATTTCTGTGCACGGAATTGTATATGACGCTTAGTGCTCAGTATTAACAAGTGACTTTTGACTAATATTTGAAGTAATACACTGGGAAAATCTATTTTAACAGCAAATCTTTAGATGCATTTAATTTCTGAGTATATTACTGATGCTATACTTGTTTGTAATTAGAACTACTGCTTTGTAGAATTCTGCAAGCACATCCTCTGAGGCTGGGCAGCATAGGTTGTACTACTCTGCCTTGGTGCTGTATCGTGGCCCTCCAGCGCGCTTTAAAACCTGTGACGCAGCCTGCGTGGGGAGGAGGGGAGTGGGCACGTGGTAATGCAAGCACAGTTGTGTATCAGGAGCAAATAACAGGGGTCACTTCTGAAAAGTCACACTTTGGCAACTTCCCTTACATAAAGGACTGGCCACAAAAGAGGTGAACATGGAAGACTTAAATAAAAGCTCATAAAAGACAAATTGTTTATACTGGTGGAGGAACTCCTGGAGGATAAAACAGATATGACATGTTGCATGAGGCTTCTGTCAGGAGAGCTCGGAAGAGGCAGGTGGGGGGTCTTCAGCTGAGCTCTCATGTTGCAGAGTGGAGACAATACTCTGTGTGCCTGCAGCTGCAGGCTTCCCTACTATGGGCTATGAGTAACCTGCTGGTATAACCAAAAGTTAGAGCAATGTATTAATTGCTTTCAGCTAATCCATTGACAAGTATCAGCTGAATGATGAGCCCTGAGATGAAATGGCTGGTTGGTCCCAAGAAAAGCATCTTGGTTTTGTCTACTGCAATGGTGGTCTCATCTCCATGGCCAAGAGTTCCCTAAAATCTGTGCTGGTCATCCTGCATCTTCTAGCTTGCAGCTTGCTGCTGCGGCGCGACCAGTTGAATGTGAGCAGGCAGCTTTAGCCTGGAGGTTGTTCTTGGAAGGAACTGTTGTGCAGGACACTGCAGAGCTGCTTAAATATATGCTGAGTCAGCCCTGGTGAGTTGAGAGCATTTCTGTGATGCTTTGGTTAGGTGCTTAGATTGGATAGCTTTATTCTGGTGCTATATTGTACCAAAGATCTATTCAAAACTCTCAGCTAGTATAGTTAAATTATAATATATAGTGTTTACCACATGATGAAATGAACCATTCCTTAAGTTTGCTTTTACTGTAGTAAAAATAATAGGCAGGTGAAACTTAAAAATCAGATACAATATTCTTCTCTTCTTTCCCACGTGATGCCTCAAGAATGCTGATTTCCCAGCAGTAATGTTGTTCAATAAGCATAGCACTAATCTAAATGTTTACAAAGCAAATAACCCTGTGGTTTTTAAACTCACTGTCTGTGCTACAAAGAAAATAAATCCTCACTTTGGACTGGAAACATATGCACGAACTTTAGAATTTGATAAATTTAGAGTTGACTTCAAATCCAACTATGGATCATTGTCAGATGATGCTGATACGCTCAGAAAGTAACAGTTGAATTAGGTATTTTAAAAATAGACTAGACTCATGAAAGAATGATAGGTTTAGTTTCAGTAGTCACTGCTCAATGCTACTTTAATTCTTTTCATATTGACAAAGAGACTGAGTTTCACAGACAAAGCGTCTGTGAAAAATTGTACAGAACTTAAAACTTACCTATATTCCTGAAATGTCCAATAGCATTGTGTTTTTCATTTAGGTTAAAAAGATGCATTACAAACCCCACATCATTGTCTTTGAGAACACTGATTCTCCCAGAAGGAACAAAGTTAGGGCCTGAGAAAGACAACTTCGGATAGGTATAGGGGTTGGGGGGGGGTAGATTTACAACTGTTACCCATCCTTTTTTATAGAACCCATTTGTGAATAGACTCAGTGTAACAAGCATCAGTAAAAAGTATCCGCATTTTCAAGGTATCACAGGAGAGTAACACGTGACTGATACAAACATGTTTTTTATTTAAAAAAAATTTAAAAAATGTTTTTGAACAAGGCTCTGCAACCACTGCATGATAGAAAGGAAATAGGAGGTGCTTGGCTTTCTTCCATGTGTAGATCATGATACAGTAAACTTCATCATATCCGTGGATAGTATCCATTGTCATTTTAATCCAAATTTTTCTTCTTTCCTTAAGAAGACAGTCTGAATGTAGGTGAATATTAAAAAAATATTTTATTTATTTCTGTCAGAGTTCATCTTTGGCCTGTAGTCAAGAAAGAAGAAACAGTTTTCAGTTAATTGGAAACTCAATTTTTAACTGTCTAATCCTGCAGATACATGAAGAAATGTTTCCAAGTTCGATAGGTGTTAATGGCCTGGTAACCGATACCATGGGGTGTTGAGCAATGCCTGTTCCAATTTGGTTAAGTACGAACTGAAGACATTATGTGCTTTACGTTTAACACTGTAAATACTGTACCTTTTTTCTGTGGCAGGTACATGGAAAAAGGTCATCATCAGGCTGCTGCACTTTCTCCATCCCATCTCTGATTTTTGGCTCGCTCACTTGCAAACTGGCATATTCCTAGTTTTAAAAAAGGAAGGTATTGTTAATTCATAAACTTGTTAGATTGTACACCTGGTTGTAAATACCGTACCAACTCAGCTGACTAATTCTGTAAAAACTCTGGGGCTACACAACCTGACTCCATACTGTACCACAGACAGGGTAAGTGGATACTTAACTGCTGACAGGAGCCCCTTGGGGTGCCTCACTGGCGTTTCAGTATCTCAGTGCTAATGCACAGGTATTTTCAGCTGTGGTTCACAGGGTGTGTGTCTGATGTGGAATTCTTTGATCATTGTGGACAACATACTCTTGCAGATTAAATCAAGATTTATGGGATCCAATTGCTTCTCTCAAAGTGTCAGCATAGTCTTAAGGGGTTTCATAGAAAATAAATGCATGCAATGTTTGTAAAACAACTGGACTGGCCAATTCCCAGCAGCTCCATTGCCCTAATTTTCTTTCTGTGGAATTTCAGTTCATGTGGTAGTAGCTGTTAAAAATATACTAACCTGGAAAAGCTTGAAATAGTAACAAAAAATGTGATCTCCCATGAGATTGTTTCTTGCAAATTCTTGTCCAGATTTTGCAATACTTTTTGCCTGTCAAAGAAAGTAGAAGTCTTCCTAAAATTCTCAAAAAATAGCCATAATTTCAGAATGCCAGTATTGATTCTGGAGTTAAGTATAGTGTTGACAGTTCAGGATAACTTATTTATTTAAGCATTCTTAAAAGTAAGGCATTCTTATGTAAATACTCTTAAATTTTTCAAAAGTTCAATTTAATTTCAATTAAGGGTAGTATGTATTTTCTAAAAAATGTTTTTCTTGTTTGTAGAGATGACAACAATAATTTTTAAGTCCTTCTAATAGATTCTTTTTTTTTTTAAAACACATGCACTTTTTGTTCTTTCTAATTTGGCTGGAAACACTGACGAGTAATTTTAAAGGTATATTTACCTCTTCGTCATGCTCTTTTGCCCACTGTAGTTTTTCTAGTAGATCACTCAGGTCACTTTTAAATGGAATATAATGTTTCCATGGCTGCAGCTCATTATAAAAATGCTCATAGTAGATGGAGTCTTGCTTCAGCACCACACTGTTTCCTGCTAGTAGATAAGGCAATCTGTATGCTGCCACTGTGCCATCAATATTAATTTGATATTTATACTGTAAAGAAAGTGACCACAAGTTATTAACAAACAGAAGAACCAAGTAGCTTGGTTAGGTTATATTATTCTCAGGGCACTGGTATTACTGACTTGCTGATATTGAGAAATGTAGGATTGGCTAGGCAAGCATCAATGTTTAAGTAGCTTTTATTATTTAGTTTGGTATTCATCACAGTGCAGGGTACACAGAGATGCCCTCTTCATCAATTAAGTTCTCCGGAAATTCTTAAGACGCTCATCCTCGGATGTGAGGGTAGATGTGCCACTTCATCCACTGCCTTTCCCACTATGTTAGTTATGTTAGTAGTCCTGATCGCTGAGTCAGGAAAAAGAAATAAAAAGGAACTTGAATTATATAGATTACACAAGGTTCTACTCAACCTTTAGATGTAAATCAAACATTATTATTCTCAGCCTAAGAGCTACATGGCAGTTAATCCCACTGGAGGGATGCCTATTCATGCTTGTTATTGGTGTTGTGCTGAAAAACTACAAATCACTTTATATTCAGTAATATATACAAAGTTATTTGATAATGGGAAACACTGAGAACATAGCTCTGTGAAAAATGGTTAGTGGCTTACCTTAAAAAAATCAAAAAATGAAATGTGCTTAACAATGGGGCCATAAAGGCTTTCATCATGTTTAAAAAAAAAGAAGTTTGTGAAAGCAGCATCTATGATCTCTGGGTATTTTCTGCTCAGTTTTACAAGTTCAAGCCTCTCTTTGCGGCTGTCACGCCCTCTCCAGAATGCTGTGGTATTCTTGTCTTCCCATGATGGGCCAGTGTTTGCTTGAACTGACATCATATCCAGACTGACTCTGGAGGAGAAAGAAGTGATTTAATAGTAAAGCCTACTGATTTTTTTTTTAAGTGCAATTACTTAAGAGAGTTTACAATACCAACAGGCAAATACCAAGGATGAAGGTAAGTCATGAGCACACCCGTATCAGTATTTTTGCAGTGATAAAAATAGATAAGGAATGGCAAGTTTACAGGCTTGTCGCAAGCCAGCATCAGTTCAATGACAACATGGTGTGTGGCAAGAGTACCTGTCAGTTGTCATGGAAAAAAATGGCTAAAAGTGGACATGGTTGCCAGACAAAGGAAGGTGACACAGGGTAATGCATCAGCTGATAATGGTAATGAGGCGGTCATGACAGTCCAAAGCATGTTTTTTCTATAACTAACTGAATACAACATATTTCACTTCCTGTGCTAAATTAAAACATAAATTAGGGAGGCAGGAGTGAGCAAATATGGGAAAAGTCTTCATAATAAAGACAAGGAACTTGAACTGAATGCAGTACAATGATCACTAAGTTCGAAGTGGATAACAAGGATCTCTTAGAAGGTGGCTTTGTAGTGTTTCAAGACAGTGATAGAGCAGTTATGATGGCCAGTTATGATCAGGAATCAAAGTGGAAGATCGTAGGTCCTAGGCTGAGAATTCTGGCTACGTAGGGCTTTAAAAGGTACAGGAGAAAGACTCTAGGAAATCAGGAAAAAACAGATCTGGCCAGTTGTCAACATGTTCATGCGGGGGGGGGGGGGTAAAAACAAAGCAAACAAACAAAGTACCTAGCCTTGAAATGTTCCCTCTAAGTGCTGTTTGCAGGCACTTGACCATGTTTACATTAATTTTGACTTTTTAAATACAAGTGAAGTATTTTAATATATGTCATTTATGTTATACAATACATAACTTGGTTAAAGATATTGATTACACAGATATTGTCTACCTACAGGGTGACAATGTGTCAATGAATAAATACAGAATAAAAAAGTTATTAAAAATATATTTTTGGAAGATCATTCACTGTGATTTTTTTTTAATTTTAAGCAATTTCTTACCGTCCCATAGTCTCCAAAACTGAGTCTGTTAAGTCATATGTTGGCATGACAATGTCTTTTGACTCACTGGACCCACACCATGAGAAGATGGGGTGCAGGTTCTGTGGGGACTTCCTTTTCTCCAGAGGCCAGTCCCCCAAATTAACAAAAAATTCTACATCTGGCATTTTCACCTAAACAGAATAGGCAGAAATGTATTTTAATACAATGCAGTATTCTTCTGCTGGCATCTTGCATTTTGAAAACAACCTCACTAAAAGAAAAAATAGCCAGGTCTCTAATACACTTCATGTACTTGTAATACATAGTTAAAGTTTAGAAACATACTAGAAGTCCTGAGACCACAGAGTAAAGCCTACAAGAGAGTATTTTTTTTAAAGATTTTCACAAAGTCACATATTTGCTCTCTCTTTTTTTTTTTTTTTTTTTTTTAAGGGATTTCTCCTTTTTTTTTTTTTTTTTTTTTTTAAGGGATAGGAACACCCCAGTTCAGAGGATGGTTTCCTGTTACACTTTACAGGTAGATTAGCCACACAATCTTTGTGCCAGGCTAGCACTGGGATTTAGTGAGCAATCAGTCATATAATTCTAAGGTAGATTGATTGAACCACCTTGTTGATTGTATGGAAAATTACTGTTGGGTGGTAAATAGGTTTTCTGTCACATCAGTGAACTGTTTTGCCCTGTGTCTGCATGATGGCTAAATCCAACTGAAAAGAAGTAACAGAAATGAACAGCCGTGATGGGAGAGACCACATTAGTCAGTGCAGAGGTTAATTATTAAGCATAACACCCTCACTTAAATAATCTGAAATCACTGTCAGCCAAAAAGCAAGGAAAATACTGTTGATGGCCAGGAAATGTTGTAACAGCAGAACAGAGGACATAGTTATTCTGGTATATGAAGCTTTGATACACCCCCATCTTGAGCATTATGTGTAGTTCTGGTATTTGCAAGTGAAATAAGAGAAGGTACAACGAAAGGCGACTACTATGATAGGGATGGATGAGCTGCCTTGTCAGGAGAAAATGGAAATGGTGGGACACTTCAATCTGGAGAGCATGAGGCTGAAAGCAACATATAGTTGACTTTTATAGAACCCTGAAGGCATGGATAATGTGAATGCAGAACTAATGCTCTATCTGCTCTTTGTTCACCCTCTTCATGACATTAATTTTTTTTTTTAAATATAAATCTCCACTACATGCCCCTCAGTTACCTCTTTGAAAGCAAAAGAATATTAGTCCAATTAGCTTGTCTTTGCATGCCCAAACGGACTTCTGTGTAGTTCTTTTTGAGACAGTGAAATGAGAACTACAGTCTTCACAAGATAGGCATGTCACAGGTTTTATACTGTGACATAATATTTTTTCTTTTGATTTTGCCTCCCTCCTTAATAAATCTTAATTGGGTATTTGACTGTTACAAACATCTGATTATTATACTCTAATTTTTTTGAAAACTGTTGGATAACTCCAAGATCTCTGTCCTGACTAATAACAGATAATTTAGAGATCATTATTATTTATGTGTGATTAGGAACATTTTGTTCAAGTATTATCGCCACCTATCTTAAGAGCTACATGAGAAAATACCTTCTCTGAAGAAGGATCAATTCTGAATGTTAATAATTCTCAAATTAAAATATACATATACACATAAAACCAGAGTTGAAAGATTTTGCTGACAACTCATCAAATATATGCATCAAAGCATTTATCCTCTCAAACTTATTCTTCAGATCCGAATGGCTGGTCACAGGCTAACATTTCAGGATTTTTCTGTAGCCCAAATAGGTTTGATTAAGTTTCTCAATTTATCTTTATGGACAGAGGTAGAAATTAATAATTTGCCAAATATCAAACACTCTCCTAAGTGGTTGAAAATATTTTTCTCTAACTTGATGACATGGGAAAACCTTTGGCAGAGATACCCAGAAATTCTAACGACAGAGACCCAAAGCAGTACTTTCTGTCTTCAGTATCCAGACCAACCGAAAAGGTTTTATTGTGTACCTTCATTTCAAAGGAGGTTTGGCCGTGCATTCCAATCTTCAGCACTAACCTTTATTAGTATAGTGCCATCTAATGGTTATAATGGACATTGAATGAAAAGTTACAAATTCTGTTTTATCTACATCCTCAATGGCAGAATCATTCAACATGTTAAATCTTCTCCAACCCAATAGTTCTATTGTCTTTCAGTGACACCATCTTAATAAAAACTCCTACAGTATTTAATGGGGATGAGACAAACTGTGTTTCTTAGATTTGTAAACAGTTTCTGTCTTTGGTGTTAGCAAATCTTTTTCAACACAGCCCAAATACCTTTCATGCAATTTAATTCCATTATTTCTTATCCAACACTACTGACACCAAGAACAGCTTACTTCTATCTTCCATAGAGCAACCTTTTAGATAAAGGCTACCTTCACATCTTCCCTTAGACACTGCCACATGAAACAGTCCCCACTTAAATGAATCTTCATTTGTACGTCCAGTCATTCTTACAACTTTCCTGTGCAATGTCAGTAATTGAAAAATCTTTCTTGAAGCATGACACCCAAAGGCAGATACAGCAGTGTAACTGATCCATTACTAATCCTGACTACAGTGGAAAGGTTATTTTACATTTCTTTAATGTGTTTGTTCTGTTCATGTGTGTGTTGAGCTTTTCGCAACAGCGTGCCACTGTTGACCCATGTTAAATTTGTCATACTGTAACCTTTACACTTCTCTGAAGAAAATAACCACACTCCGTATTTTAAATAGGTGCCATACTGATATGATTTATCCAGCCTTTGTGTAGTATCCTGCCCTTATAACTTTATTTTATCCATTTTTCCATACAATTTCTCTTACTTGTTACGATTTTTTTTTCTTTACAATGCTCTACTGTGACGTGCTTGCAGGCTCTTTAATTTTTTCTATCTGAAAATTCAATAAGCATATTCTCTAATCCATCATTAAGTCAAAATATAACTAGAGTTATTAAATGGGGACTGAACCTAGGACAAATCTCTGAAGAATACATTTGTGACACCTTTCACCTCTCTGGAAACATTGGCAACTATTATTTAAGTAACACTTTCCAAGCAGGTTACAGTAGTTTCTTCTAGGCAAAGTTTTTCCATCTTGTTTACGAGAAACTTGTCCAACTTACCCTCAAAAGCCTAACTAAAATTAAGATACTTGACATCCATGCAGGAAGCCTATTACCTTACTATAAAAAGAATAGGTATAACGTGATCTTTTGATGACAAATCCAAGTCGTTACATACCAATTACCTTATCTTTCAGCTCCTTGTAAATGTGTTTATTTTTTACTTCAGATTTTTAAGGAATTTTTTTAGGTGAACAACTCCATACTTCAGTAGCTGCTGTCTCTTCTTTCTCTCCTTTTTAAAAGACAAAGTGCTTTGTCTTTTTACAGTCAAAAATAGATATTAACTTGGATATCTTCATATTTCTCTTACTACTCTCTTTACATAATAATCATATTTATGTGTGCTGAAACTTCAGCCCTGCTATATTCTGTCACTACGTACATATGATAGGTTTTTTCCAAAGTTTCCCTAGGGAAAAGCCTGCATGGTGCTTTTTGCTTGTACATCAAGGGAGTTTGCCCACATGCCACCTGTTGGGCTTTTGGTGCTCTTTCTCAACCCTTCCCATCTTGTTTTCAACATATGGAATTTAATGGGGAATGATATCCATTCCTTTTTTTTTTTCAGTCATCCTGTAAAGGGTACTAGCAGAGACCGAATTTTCTATTGGACGCTACAGGATAAAAAAAACACACTCTAAATCTACCAAACTCTCCTATAAAAGCCTGCTATTCCATTAACATTCGTAATACTCCATACACTGATCAGATAGCATTCTAGAACATTCAAACAAGGAAAATTCATCTTACCTTTCCATGATTAATCAAAGAACAAGAAGAGCTTTTTAAAAGAAATAGCAACAAATATGCTCAAGTACATTTGTTAAGCCCAAGCTTCTACAAATTCAGACATACAGAATAAACGACTGTAAGATGTACTCACTTTTCTTGTCAAAGAAAGCAGTATGGCATCCATGAAAATTCTGAAGCCAACATGTTCCCCATATGTCTTTATATACACCTGAAAATAAACAAAGGTTTGACTGGTCTGCCATTTTCATTTCAGAGAATGGCTGGCAGAATTTAGAGCTCTCTTCATCACTTGGTAAGTAACTAGTCAGATAGACTGTGTGGCTGTATAGATTTATGAATCATCTGGAAAGATTTAGAAATCTCATCTCTCCAACTCATCACAGAAAAGTGACCAAAAAAAAGGGACAAGCTTTGCTTACTTTTGCAGACATTTTAGGTCTGTCTCATGGAAACAGAAACTGGTTGCCCGTTTCTGTTGTGTTCCATTGTTCTCATTTCCATATGAAACTCTACTGAAGTCAGTACAGTTTTGTTAAAAAGAGTTGTAGCCCTGATCATCAGTAGAGATAAAAGTGGTATTTCTTTACCTCAGAATTATGCACAAGGTAATTTATTGATGCATGTCAAATTAGATGATCGTGACACCCCACAGCAATATTACTCACAGAACAGGAAAGTGAATTAGCATTTAGGAGACTTGGGTCTGTGCCCAGTACTCATATTGATTGCTTGGAAAGTAATTTGCCTTCACTGTGCTTCAGTTGTATTCTGGACAAAAAGCACTTTACAAAGTAGAACAGATATTATTGAGCTCATATACAAACTGCAAAGTATTCAAGGACAGAGAAGCAAGCAAAGGAAGTTTCTTAAAGAACAGACAACAAGAAGCCTTTCAACTGGGAACAGCCAAGCACCTAGTTTTATGACTTGCCACAAAATCCCCATATAGACTTCAGATCAACCCATTCCGTACCTCGTTATCTTTGATTGTGTAATGACACAAACTCTGTCTTTGTCCAAACCTCTCTGGAATTTCTTTTGCAATCTTATCTGGATCAACAATGGGAAAATTTGCTAGGTCTCTTTGGATCTGTGGAATGATTTGAGGGCAGTTCATCTCTTCCAGCCACACACTGCTCTCCTCCTCAGGGCAGTCACAGTTTTCATGGTAAACAGGTCCTATCAGGAACACAATTATTATTTTATTTTTAAGAAGTCACACTATTGAGCTGTTGAGATCAGAAAAGGGGGTCAGACACAGAACATTCATTGCTTAGCGCCAAACCTTCATCAACACTAAACGGACATGTTTCCATTTTTTTTTATTCCAATGGAGTCATGACAAGCTATATCAGCTTCTGAGCCCTCTACATGTATTCACTAGGCAGCAGCTTTAACAGTATTGGACTCTTTTTACTATTTTGAATAGTACACTTATAATTAATCCATAATTCCAATGGGATTTGATAGTCAGGAGACATAAGGAGGTCCCACAGAATCCTATGCAGACATTCTGGGATATTGTTTGTGAGAAGAAGCCATGATAGGAAATGTGTGTGTAGTGCTGCTTCTTACCTTTTAAAATGTATGGAGACTTTGCAACATGTTTATCTCCAGTTTTGACTTCTATCTTCAGGTTTTTGTAGCTTGCGTACATCCTGTATCTGACAAGGAAGGAACCATCTTTCCTGTCTAATACTTGCACGCCAACCCGAGTGAACTGTTCATCAGGAGCAGTGATCTTCACCTGGAATGCATTTTCACCCGGCGACGAAGTGAACCTACCAAGAGAATAAGCATGAGCTTAGTAAAAAAAGAAACACACAACAGCATTATCAGTCTGAATTCCTTTTCAAGCTGACAGATTTCCAATGACTTCACTGAGCCACGCTAGGTCTTTACGAGCACATCCTAATGGTCACAAGCAAGGCATGATTTTTACAAAGATAATTTTGTTAGGCTACCTAAAACGTCTCATGCTGTTAGAACTATTAGGTATCAAGAAGGTTCCACTCAGATACTCGTGAATACACCCCCAAAATTACTTGGTACTCTACATGTTGAACAGTGTTGGAAATACGGTCTTTGACTATATGGGAACAGAGCACCTTTAAAAATCCAGCATAGCTCTTGATTAGTAGTAGCTCAAGTGTAAAATAATGGGAAGGTAGAGAGCATGCACATAAATGGATACTGGTAGATATATCTTGGTGTCCTGTCCTGTAGGTACAGGACATGGGGCAACGGTTTTAAACTGAAAAAGGGTAGATTTAGATTGGATGTAAGGAAGAAATTCTTTACGAGGGTGGTGAGACACTGGAACAAGTTGCCTAGAGAGACTGTGGATGCCCCACCACTGAAGTACTTAAGGTTAGGCTGGATGGGGCTTTGGACAACCTGACCTACTGAAAGATGTTCCTGCCCATGGCAGGGGGTCAGACTACATGATCTTTAAAAGTGTCTTTCAACCCAACCTTTCAATGTTTATATATAAAAAAAAAAACAACTAGAATATGCCTCACTTTAGCAACTTAATAAGTCTGTTATTTTATATACAGAAGCAAAATATTTCCAGATTACTTTATTTTCCAGGAATTATTTAGAGAGGTAAAGAATGAAGTTAGATTTCTTAATCATTATGGTAGCTCATACAGGAGAAAAACAGGATATTACAAATGCCAGTGTCTTGGTAAGGAAAAAACATTATAGTGGGATCATGTAATTCAATGCAAACTTATGACATTTTTGTGAAATTCACCATACACCAATAATTGAAAAGTCACCACAAAACCAAATTAAATAAATTGAAAAAAATCATTAAGTTATCACATATCATAGAGGTATTAACAAAGTTGGCATGGTCAAAATGCTGCATCTGCCAATTTTTGTCCACCTCTTTAAACACAGTCCCAAATAAGTAGGGAGAGCTTGGGACAAAGATAGAGATGGTGGGAGCAGCTGGACTAACGGATTACAGCCCAGAAGCCCAGTCACCTTTCCTGAAACTCGTCCAGACATACTAGAGGGTTGCCAGTTCAACTAAATTCAGGAAATATTTACTGTCTAAGATAAGCTCAATTGGCAGCTTCGACCTGCGTGTGCCATGGTGCATCTAATCTGAACAACCTACTCTGAGCTCCTATCTACCTTGTACGGTTTCTTTCCTGTAGAAATGGAAAACCGCAAGTATTTTCTGAAAACTAAATTTACCTATTTCATTCCTACGAAGTTTACCTAGTGGCTTACTGAGTAATTTCTAAATTACTCTACTGATCCCATGCCTACGTGTTTAGAACAAATACTGATGTTCCCAACAGTGGAAACAAGCAGAACACCTGAGCAGGTATGTCATAAATCAAATATATTAGCTATTGTTAAGTTTTTGACAAAGCATAATAAATCATCAATTGTTGGCTGGACCAATACACGCGTTTTGCTGTTGAACATTTTCATCGTCTTTTCTATCTCATCCCCTTGTGCAGTTATTCGATACCCCTAAAAAGATCAATTAGCTTTTTCTGACTGATATAGTGAAAAAGTCATGTAGGGAGCCTTCAGCACCAGTAGTTTCTCCTTCTGCAAGAAAATACCATGTAAATTTCTGCCCAAATGGGGAAAGCGGCTCAGGGCACGCAAAGTCAGCCCTGCAGGGGCTGGGGCACGCAGCCTTGCCGGCACCGCTGCCACGCCAGGCCGGGAGCAGGACGCTTCGCTCCCTCACGAGAAATCCAGCAATCTCCATTTGGGTCCAGGGCCCGAACATTATTTAAGTCGCTGCCCAAGGCGGGGAAAGTCGCA